AAGGATGCTCGGGTGACACATGGGATAGTTTATGGATGGCAGCATGCCATGTCGAAGTTGGAACGGACAATCCCACTCACACTGCCCGTAGACCTCCAAGCACCACAAGCATCTGAAGAGCATTTCCGGTTAAGCTTCTGACAGCAGCATCTTAGTGGCACCTCGATTAGGGTTTAGAGGGTTTGGGGTAGCAGTTTAGTAGTTTGTGGGCTTCCGGTACGACAGTGTGCCCTCCACACTCAGCATCACAGCCACCTGGGCGTCGGAAGGCTCGTCGCTTTCCTCGGCTTCTTGCAGACCACAGCTGGGCTCAGGACTTCATTCATTGAAACATTTGCAGTTCGGGAAAGGATGGCAATGTCGGGCCTGAATGATAAGAATGATTAGAACAAGGTTTTCGGGCATTTATTCTGTAACATTGCAGGGCTTGACGCAGGTGTCCCAAACTGCACTAACACACTGTTAAGGCCTCTACAAGAGAACCATCGTCGTAACACTGCAGGACCCCTGACTAAACCCAACAGCTGAGACCCAGGACTGAAAATCATGAAACAACCCTGAATCCTCCACCCGGAACCCATGAATCCTGAACACATAAGACTGGACATGTGACATGTATATGCCTGTATTGATGCGCATAAACATATCGGTGTCTACGTACGTCTTTACTGACTAAGTGTTCTCACTATTGTTGCTGTTATTCCTTAGGGTTCCTTAGTATACCTATGTATACCATAACACCACATGCCCCCAAACATCCGATCCCGAAATATCCTGTCGAGCTTCTCATCGAACTCCAGGAGGTCATTGCCGGCAAGAACTTCGGCCGGCGATTCGCCGATAGCCTGAGGCTGGGAGTCAGGGTTTAAGGTTTAGGGTTTAGGGGTTTAAGACTTCAGGGGTTTAAGAGTTTAGGGGTTTAGGGGTTTAGGGTTTAGGGCTGAGGCGATCCCGGATGACAACCCTCTAGTACATTTCAGGATTCAGGATGCAGAGCTGGGTCAGAGTCACATCATGCTTCTCGTATCCTAAAAAGAACAAAAAAACCCGGATAGAAGACCGCGTAGAGCTCAAAAACTCTGCTAATGAAACTGTGAGTTTTAGACACCGCAGAAATGCAAATGAAACAGCTGCTGATGCAACAAGATAACTTGGGGCTGACTTCTGAACCCCTCCCAAAACTTAAACCTTTAGCCTCCTTATTGCAGTTCACATAGACACCCCCAAAAAGCCAAAGTCCCCGAAACCCTAAACCCTTAACCCTAAACCCTAAAACCTAGAGCCAACCAGAAGAACGCCAAGATAGGTTCTGGAGGACAAGCTGAGGAGCGGCGATGCAGCGCACCGCCTGGCCACGGTTGATGGTTATGTATGTATGTATGTGTGTGTATATATATATATATATATTCATGTATCTATTTATAATTATCTACATATATATATAGATACATATATATGTCCGGGGGGTGAGCATAGATAGATAGGTAGGCAGGCCGGCAGGTAGGTAGGTAGATAGATAGATAGATAGATAGATAGACAAATAATAAGTACGCGTATATATGAATATATAGTATATGTATAATAAACAGGATCATAATATGCCAGCCTCTCCTTCGAAAACAAGCCTTTTCTAACTGTAACAACTGAGTTACTTGTCTACTTCCGTTGCGCGAAGCTCCCCAAGCCCCACACTGCCAACACCACGAGCCTAAACCCCAAGCTGAAAATCGCTATCGACTGCAACAAACTCGACAGGTTTCACGGGCCTGCCGTTGCTTTCTGAGCAGAGAGATCAACGGCCGGTTCTCCGCCAGCCGCTCTGCGCCCTCCTCGATGCTGGGCCCTATAGCCCAAACTTTGGCCCAAGCCCTCAACCCTAAAACCTTTAAACCCTAAACCCTAAACCCGCAACCTCACACCCTCAAGCCTCAACCCTGACCACAAATTGGGATCCTGGAGTTGGAAAGCAAGTTCCCCATGCCCGGTTTAGGGTTTAGGGTTCAGGGTTTAGGGCTCAGGGTTTACAGTAGGACTTCGGGGGAAACTCTACTAAAGGTATGACAAGGAGGCCTCAGGAACAGTCTGAAAGTTGTGTAGGCCCTTACCTAAGGGGCTGAATACCCTGGCCCAAAACGGTTTCTCTAAAGCCGGAACCCGACACCCTAAACCGTAAACCTGGACCCTAAAACCCTAAACCCTAAAATCGAGACCACCCTAAACCCCAAAACCGCCAAACCGTAAACCCGAAGCTACCTCGAAGTTAGCCTCTGGCTTCAAGGGAGTGAAGGGTTTTGTTGGTTTAGTGGATTTAGGGTTTTTGGGGTTTAGGGTTTAGGGTTTCCGGTTTCGGGCTTTCGGGGTTTTGGGGGGTTTTGGGGTTTTGGGGTTTTGGGGTTTTGGGGGTTTCGGGTTTAGGGGTTTTGGGTTTTGGGTGTAGAGTGTGGGGTTTGTAGGCAATTAAGATTTTCAGGGTTTCGGAGTTGGATTAAAGCCTAAGCCCGAAACCCAAAAGGGCCTTGCCCCCCGGCAGGGCGATGGCCGCCCAGTCGCGCTCCAAGCAGTCCGGCAGCAGCGCATCTGCCTCTACCTTGTTTTGGGGCCCATCGTTCGGGCTAAAAAGTTTAGGGTTTAGGGTTTGGGGTTTAGGATTTAGGGTTGCCGTCACTCCCACGGTTGGGTTTTGGGGTAGAGAGCTGGCGACTGATACGTTTCTATCTAGACCCCAGGCGACCAAACAAAACTTGCGTCGTCTAGACTTTAGTCATGACCTGGGCCGAGTCCTAAATGCCGTCAGCAAGCCCTAGCAACTACACCCTCCACTTAGACAGCTTCTCAACTCCCAAAAAGCCTTGAACCCGTAGCGAACTAACCGTCAACTGGAATAAACCCTAACCCCCCACCCCAAACTCTGCAAGCAAGTGGGCAGTAAGCGAGCCGCTCAATTTCAGCGACAAAGACTCCTCCGACGTGCTTGCGCTTACGGCTGTTTACAATTAAGCGTTCAGAGGTTTGGGGCTCTTCTTCTTCACACTTGGGTTCTTTGTAGTGTCTTCTTATGGTGTATCTGGGAACTTTCCAGGGGTATTGAGTGGTTTGGGCTTCCCAGCTTCGTCATCGACGTTGAGCCGCAGTCCTGCGTGGTCAATGAGTCGCTGAAGATCTTCCGGGCTGAACCTAAACAACATGCCGACGGTTCAGGGTTAAGGGTTTAGGGTTTAGGGTTACATACCGTAACCCTACACCCTAAACCATAAACCCTCAACCGCAAACATACCCATTACCGGCCAGATCCCGTAAACCCCAAAACCCCCAAAAAAGGCTACTACTCGGCCCTCAAACCTAAACCCTAAAGTAGACTCCTAAACCCCCAACAAGGGCTACTACATGAAACCCTACACCGCCCAAAAAAAACCCAAGAAGGGCTCCTAGACGACTCTCAAACTGAAACCCTAAACCCTAAAGTACACCCCTAATTGAACCCTGACCGTGGAGGCTGGCGGGGGCTCTCAGGGATCCGAATCTCGCATACAGCCAAGGAGTTCTCCTCGGCAGAAGCCAGCGTGACGTCGGCCCCCGCGCGGGTCAGAACCTAAAGCAGCAAAGGCTGGCAGGTTCTGACGGTTTAGGGTTTAGGGCAATAGTGACTTAATAGGGGTCCTATATAGGGTAATGTTAGGAGCCCGGGTCCTTGTAGCTCGAGAGCTACCTTTGACTCCCGCAGCTTGATCTTGTGCTGCTTGGCTGGTGGCTGCTTCGGACGTCTGGGCTCCAGAATCCGGAATACAAGCGGCAAGTTCTTAAACTCATAAACCCTAAATAACCGTTCTTAAGAGTAAAGCCCTAAGTCTACAGAGCAGGAACATCTCCGTCTGACAAACCGAAACCCACCGCATGTTTGACGAACCCCGAAACCTGCAGCAGAACCCCACCAGCCGGGCTGCGTCCGTCAAGCAAGCCACCTGAGTCGTGCTTTGCTGGAGTAGCACGCAATCTCCGGAGTTGTTGTCAAACCTCAACCCTCGACACTGCAAGCCGAAGTACTACTACAAAGTCCTCGAGAAGGTTCTCTACAAAGATCGCGCTGGGCTCTGAAACGCAGCGTTGCAAGCAGCATTCGGCGATGAATCGTATTTACGCCTTCTCGGCTTCACGGCTCAGAGCATCTGGATGGAGTGCTGGTCTTCACCGCCAGGGCCTACAACAATAAGGTAGGTAGACCCCTGAAATTACACTAGGGATCTTAAGATGAAGGCACTTAAGAAAAACGGGGAGAAGACTACCCGAGAGCCAATGGTCGGGATGCGAGTGACCAAACGAAAACAAGCCTGACTCAGCCTACCGGCATGATTTCTTGCAGTCGGAGTCTACCGCGCGGACAACGACACTCTAGCGCCATATTATAACTCCACCGTTGCGATATGACATAACTGTCACCCAAAACAATACTGCCATATATCCGAAACCCGACATTAAACGCCGGATTCCTCCGCGACTTCGAGCTCCTGTCCCCCTTTTACGTCATCTGAATGCGTTTGGGACGGGGCTGTGCTTAGACTGGGATTGAACTTCTTTCGGTTTGGAGAAGCTTGGGAGAGCAGTAAGATTAAGAGCTGGAGTCTCGTTCCGGCACCCGCACGTTTTGCTCACCGCCGACGAGTTGCTCGCCACGAAAGCTTGGCACAAAAACCCACTTGTCTTGGACAAGGGTGCTTGCCAGACGTGCGCAGGTGCACAGCGGCTCAAGCCCTGTAGCACCGGCAAGTAAGAGTCCTACGATCCTACCAGAAGGTGTACCATGACCATAAGTACTATGATATGACTAAGTTAAGTTAGTATACTATGATTATGTACAAGTACCACATCCTGGGCTAGTCTCCTGCGCCTAGATCCCAGGAGCATGCGCCTAAGCCTTGCCGAGCCTGTAAGCCCGACGAAACCTCCATCCTAAACCCTAAAATGGAACTTTGGTCAGTGCAGTGCAAGTCCTAGGCCCCACGCGGTCAGCCTCCAATCGACCTTTCTTCGACACAAAGCTGAGGCTCTGCCGCCAAAAAATGCTCGGATGGGTGTTGCATGCCCAGGTTGCGGAAGAGGACGTCAACCGCATCTGTCGTGTCCTTAAGTTTTGGTGTATGAGCTCTGGGGATGTCGGAATGTTGTGGAGCGCGTTTGGTCGGAAAAGGTGCAGGATGGTGGATGTCTGCAGTCAAGAAGTTAAGGATCAACCACGTCTGGGTGCGGAAGGATTCCGGCGTCTAGAGATTGCACGGCAGCTGGGGCGAGAGTTGGGGGTACTTACTTTATACAACCCAAACCCAACGCCCAAGACCCATACCCCAAACCCAAATCTCACCCTAAGTCCAATAAACCCTACACCTGAAAACCTTCGCCTTCGCCACCAAAAAAAGAAAACTCCGTTATTCCCAGCATTGGAAGGCTCCCCCTTCGCAAGCGCTGCTTTCAGGGCCTTCCGGAAGAGCGGCCGGGCGCTCTTCTTGATCCTCGGACGAACAGATCCCAGGCGTCGGATTAGCAATCTAGTTGCAAATTGAAACCGTGACGTGGGACTCTGGACTACTACGGGACTTGATAAACAACCGGCATGGGCAAACCCTGAAACCTAAACCTTAAACCCTAAACCTAAGTTGTGGCGGATGCACAAAGCGGCAACTGGAAAAGAGGGGTGAAGGCTTCGCAAAGTCTGGGATTATTGAAGTTTTACTTGTAGGGTCGGGGGACTTAGCAAGTAGGTAACAAGCACAGGTATAAGTACCCTGCAAAGTCTTCTACTTAAGGTTATGGTACTTAGACGTCTATAAAATAAGTAGTCACCACATCCCCGACCGTCCAAGTAGAATCTCGGATGTATCGCAAAACCCTAAAACCCCAACAAACCTTAAACCCCGACACCCGAAACTCCCAAAACTCCAGAGCCCTAAAGGCCTGGACACACCCTAAACCCTGATACCCTAGACCCTTACAGCAAACCCCTCAAACCCCAAACCGCAGACCTTAAGCATTGAATCCTACGGGGCCTAAAATGCCAACTTGGGGATTCGCAACCCCAAAAAATCACAAAACAAAACAACCAACAAAAAAACAATCACCAAACATGTAAACAAAAAACTGTTTCGGAAACTCAAATTTTCACACCCCTGCACACGAAGCAAGCTCAATAAACCCTCAACCCTCGACTCCGGGTATCTCCCTAAACTTTTTAAATCTTGAACCCCGAAGCCCTACTCTGCGGCCCAGGCTTCACTCCGGTAGCCGGGCCACCGGCCAAGACTCCTTTGCCTGAAAGCCGGCCAACGGAGGGGTGTCAGGGTGTAGGGCGCTTCGGGGGCTTAGGGTCTTAGGGTGTTTTGAGCTGTAGGGGCTCTTCTAATTTCAATAGGGTTCCTTTCAGGGACTCGAAGGGTTTCTACAAGGCTTACGATTAGGATTGGAACAAGGTGTTGGCAAAAACTTTAGGATAGCTATACCGGTATGATAAGGCATACTTTTACTAAGTATTTCGACACCAGTATTGCTTCTTGCGGCTTAAAAGCTTCAGTTTCCATGCTTTTCTCCGGTTTAGGCCTGAGGGTTAAGCACGCATCGGGCTTAGGATTTGAGGTTTAAGGCTCATGGCCTCGGGCTTATTAGAACTTCTAGTGACGCTAGGCTTTGGGTGCACGGTACTGCAATTGTCTCGCATGCAAACGCATGTTGATGGCGTGCTTGCCATGGGCCCCACTTCTTCTTCGTAGCTCTCGCTGCGCCGGGTGCGCTCTGCAACGGGGCCGCCATGGCGATAGGCCAGGAACTCCTACACACACCAGGAAGCCAGGCGACGGGCCGTGCTTGCTGCATCTCAACGCACGCACCACGAGTCCGCCTGCATATCGGCGCAGTGCGCCAGCGCGCGCCGAAGCGGCGTTCCAACTGGGCGCACGCAACGAGGTCGACATATCTATGCGAAGGCAGCGCATGCCGAGCTGTTGGCGCGGGCCATGATGTAATCGGTCGGATGCCACTGGTTCGCCATCTCCAAAGCCCACCTACCTTGCAGCAATGGGATGTCACTGGTTCGCCATCTCCAAAGCCCACCTACCTTGCAGCAATGCTACGGAAGGAGCTATACCACGACCAGCGTTACGGAATGCTGGGACATCCGCAACCTGCACGTACAGTACGGCATGTTGGCCTCGCGACGCATCTTCGTTTGATTTTGCACAGGTTACCCTGTGCCGTGCTGCTTGCCCGAGCTTCACGCCGAGGAGGAGTTTGAGCTGGAAGAGATGCAAACGCGGGCACAAGAACGCTGACTCTAAACTATATAAAAATTCGAACCAGGCGAGAACCTGCTATCGCCGCCAGGATGCAATCTCGACAGCACGTTGATTGATCAAAGAGACTTCGCACTGCGTCTTGCTATTTTCTCTGAATGAAGAACCTCACATGCCGTCGGCGCTCACACAGCTGCCAAGACCTCAGGAAGCAGAAGCTGCGGGCTCTGCTGCATGTGTGAGGCAAAGAACTGTCTGGACGCGTCCAAGGGCGTCGCATGCAGGTCGGGCTGGTGCTCCGGCAGACACAGCACCTGGCGCTTGGCCATGCACTGTGTGGAGGCCACGCCCCTTCTCACCTAAGTGGCGAGCGGGGCTGTGCCAGAACGAACGGACGTCAACTCATCTTAAGCAAGCTGTGACGGAAACTCAAGTCGATGGACTGACCTGCTGCAGTGAGTGCGCGGAGTCCAGTGCGACGTCGATGCTTGCAGCTGCACTCGAAAACGATGGACGAGCGAGAGGCATGTTCGACGTTGCACATGCTTTGCACGCAAATCTGCCGCTATCCTCGGCTTGACAGCTTCGTTTACAGCATTCGATCCGTTGCCCTGCCTTCTGTCCTCGTCTGCGGTGGCCCTTGCTGCGTCCCCAGTCTCGACCATTGTAATCGTAAGATACACGTCATGTTTCAGTTGTGTGACGTGCAGGTCTTCATCGGGCTGAACCGCAACGAGGTTTCGATGGAGGACCAAATCGACCGTTCCAGCTATATAGTGTTGCCTTGTTCAACCAGGGGCAGAGTGAGAGCACGCTGCGCGGAGTGGATTCGTGAGCACTGGAGCAGCTGGACCGGAGAAAGATGTTATCAACCTCCACTGGGAGGCTCGGCAGGGCGTTTCCAAAACAACTCGGGACTCTAGGGGCCCTATGTAGACCACCAGGCTCCCAAACAGATCCGCGAGACCCAGCTGCAGGCGCTCTTCCTGCAACGCATCAAGCATTTGCTCTATAAATGACCGTGCCGAGCTGTACGAGTGCCAGCACACATGTGTTGGAACAAGGAGCACCGCGAAGTCGACCGAAGAATTCTTGCCGACGCCATAAACGGTTGGCTGGCGTGTTTGCACGTGTGTGCGCGTGCATTTCTTAACTAACGTAGGGCTGACAGACATGAAGATGTGGGGTTGGCAGACGGGGCGTTACCTTGGGGGTTGAAAGTAACCCTATACTTCGCCTTGAGCGAATCTCCCAAGCCATGCTCTAGCTACTACGACCCAGAAGATGTGCGATCGAGGGTTTAGTTTTTAGGGTTTGAGGCCTGGGGTTTTGAGGCTTGCGTGGAGTAACAATTTACTTGGCTACGAAGGTACTTAGGAGGTGGATCCTCGCGAGCTTTCTTCTACAAAGGTTCCTGCAAAAGGTTTTGGCTTAGGGTGTAGGGTATCAGATTCAGACTCAGAGGAGCCATAACGTGATCCGAAGATTTCAAAACCCACGTAAGCCCCAAACACGGAAAGCCATAACCCCTAAAGCCCCAAACCCCCTAACCCTAAACCCGTGAAGCCCCCGCTTTAAGGTTTAAGGTTTAGGCTTTAGGGCCCTGAACCGTAAGAAAACCCCATAGTTCCGGGGTGCGATTGACTGTGGTGGCTCCCAGAGGCCAGTCGAGGTAGACACGACCGCCAGGGCTCCGCTTAGCGTCGGAGAGCCTTCAAAGGCCCAGGGTTGAGGGATCTAGGGTTTAGGGTTTAGGGTTTAGGGTTTAGGGTTTAGGGTTTAGGGTGTACGGATGTATTGCTTGGGGTTCAGGGGCTTTGGGGTTTAGGGAGTTTGGGGTTTAGGGCTTCAGGGTTTGGGGGTCTAGGGTTTAGGATATTGGGTTTCGGAGCACCTGGAGCTTGGGGTTGTTTTGGGGTAGATCATAATCGGCATACCTATGTAATTAGGAACTACATAGGGGAAACGAAGACATATCATCATATACTTCATACTTATGAGTTCAGGGACTGTAATTAAGGGAGGAAAACATTGCTGATCGTTTAGGCCCTCTTTTCGGGCTTGTGGCTTAAGCCTTTGGGGTTTACGCACCAGGATCGAGGACCCTGAAAATTTGAGTCTTCGGCTGTTTATGTTACAATGAAGAGGCTTAAAGTTGAAGCTTGAACTTGATCCCTCCTTGCATGAGCTGTCGACGACATGGATCATAGAGGATCCGGAAGCCCCAAATCTGGCAACCCTGCCTGAAACCGAAACTCGAGCCACGGTGTAGGGTTTAGGGTCTAGGGTTTAGGGTTTAGGGTTTAGGGTTTAGGGTCTAGAAAGCCAAGCAACAGCCTGCCCTCCGGGTTCAGCTGGAAAGCCTCAGCTGACAGTATTTGTCAGGGCTCTGGGCCGCTGCTAAAAGCCCTAGAAACCCTAAAAACCCTTAACACCCTAAACACCCTAAACCCTAAAAACCCTAAATACCATGAAAACCCTAAGTGCCGTAAAAACCCTAAAAACCTAAAAACCCTAAAAACCCTAAACCCGAAACACCCTAAACACCCTAAACCCGAAGCCTTAAAACCCCCAAACCGTAAAAACCCGCAAGACCCTAAAAACCCTGCAGACCGTACAAACCCTAAGCCCTAAAAACCCGAAACCCAAAGCCCTATACCCTAAACCCCAAAAAACCCTAAAAGCCATAAAAACCCTAGAAACCCTAAAAACCCTCAAAACCCGAAAAACCTGAAAAACCCTAAAAAAAACCTTACAAACCCTAAACCCTAAAACCCTAAAAAACCCTAAGCCCTAACAAACCCTAAACCCGAAACCCGAAATCCTAAACCCTCAAGACTGCATAAATTGAGCTTGCGTATTATACTGTGCGTGGTATTCTTTATCATTGTTCGCATAAACATATGCAGTGTATTCACTGTCGACCGCATGCGCTATATATTGTAATCAAGCAGTTTTATACCGATGCCTTATATTTATTGCTATATACAAAAATAGCAGATATGTTTATATGCATATGTAGATATAGATATAGACATAGATAAAGATATAGGTATAGATATAGATATAGATATTGATATAGATATAGATATAGATATCGGTATAGGTATAGATATAGATATACAGATATACAGATTTATAGAGAAACAGATATAGATATAGATATACAGATATAGATGCCGATATGGGTATTGATATAAACATAGACATAGACATAGGCATAGATGTAGATATAGATACAGATACAGATACAGATACAGATACAGATATAGATATAGATACAGATATAGATGTAGATATAAATGTAGATATAGATATAGGCATAGATATAGATATAGATATAGATATACAGATATAGATGCAGATATCGGTATTGATATAAACATAGACATAGACATAGGCATAAATGTAGATATATATTTATATTTATATTTGTTTATACAGATACAGATACAGATATAGATATAGATATATACGTGTGTGTACATATATATATATATATGCACATCCAAGCCCTGCTTGCGACGATATCCCACTCGAGTTTAAGTACATTGAACCAAATATACCAACACCGTAAGGGTATTACACAATCCTGGGTTCCCCTGACGGACACTATGTACCACATGCACTATGCGCATATTATGACTATGAGTATATATTACCTCCTCAGCCCCAAGCCCCGCCTGCAGAGGATATCCTAACCGAGTTTCAAAAAAACCTAAACCAACTATCCCAAAGCCGTCACCATGGGTTCCCCTAAACTTGTTGGTTTATACCTGGATATGGGGGTTTCCGAAAATAGGGGACCCTAATATAGTACCCTAAATAGTAGGACCCTTATTATAAGGACCCTAAATAAGGTACCCCTTGCTTCAGGAAACCCCCATATGTCGTTCCGACTTCAACCCCAACCTTTAGGAAGGGATGCTGCCGCCCTTGCCTGTTCCCCCCAGCCCTAGCCCTGCAGCCCTCCAGCCTCCAGGCCAAAACCCCCCCAAAAAATGCTGAACCCTAAACCCTAAACCCTAAACCCTAAACCCTAAACCCTAAACCCAAACCCCAAATAGACACCTTTAAAAGCAACAAAACAACTCCAAAAAAACCCGAGTTTAAACAGTTCGAAAACGCATTCCACACACGAAGCAAGCCCAATAAACACCCTGAACCCTCAAAACCACCAAAAAAAAAACAGAGACGCTAAAAACCCTAAAAACCCTAAACCCCAGAAGCCCTGAAGACCTTGAAAACGCTAAAAACCCCTAAACCCTAAGGTAAGCTCTTTCTAGGAGAGGGGCTTCGGCAACACTCAGACACCCTGAGCTCCCAACCCTTAGGGTTTGGGGGTTTAGGGTTTTTGGTTGGAGTTTGGGGTTTGGGGTTTGGGGTTTAGGGTTGAGGGCTTTAGGGCTTTAGCGGTTCAGGGTTTGGGGCTACATGCTTAACTCCAAGACTTTTGAGCCCTACTCCGTAGCCATCTGACTGCAGCCAGGCGGCTTGGCCTAGCGGTTTGGGAACTTTGCGGGAGTGGAGGAATCCAGGGCAGAGCCAAAACGCCTGAAGCATGGCGATTTAGGGTTGAGGGTTTGCTCGGTTGTAGCCCTAAACCCTAAACCCTAAACATTGAGGATGAAGCAGCTCCGTAAGACGATCAGACAGACTCTGAGAGGTATCGCAATTTGCCACCGAGTCTCGAGTTGTGAGGCTGAGGAGTGGGAGTTTGTTCAGATGGGAAACATCCGAAGCCCAATACCCCGAGCCCGAGTCCTAAATTTTAATTCATCCATTAACCCTGATTCTAACCCTAACCCTCAACAGTAGAACCTGCACTACCCCCCAAACCCCCGAAACCCAGCACTAAAACCGTAGCAAGCCAAAGTCGCACTCCCGAGGGCTCCTTAAACAAGAGCCGCAAAGCCGAAAGACCTCCAAAATTCGGAACCAGGACTCCTAGAATCCTTGACCCCCCCCCACATGCTTTGCGGTTTTATAGGGTTTAGGGGTGGGGTTTTAAAGATCCAGGCTCGGGGTTTAGGGCCTTAGGGGCTTTGGGGTTGAACGTCTACCAGTAGGGCCCAGCGCTGAGGGACGTATGTTGAGGGTTGAAACCTTCACCCTGGGTTTTTTTTTTTGAACGCCTTTTTCCGTCCGCCTCACCCTGGGTTTAGGGTTTAGGGTTTAGGGCCCCCAACTCCCAGGGTTTGGGGTTTAGGACCCCCTGAACCCCCCCCCCGGCCTGCCAAGTTGCCGGCAGCTGCTTCAGGCTCCTGTGCAGCTCCTTTCCGAAGTTGTTGATGAAGACGGTGTCGTCTTCCGCGAAGATGACGGCATCGCTGTTCTCACTCTTCTCCCAGACCCTCAGGCCCATTAAGAACTCCAGAGCCAGGGCCTGGGCTTATAGGGTGTATAGGGCTCAGGGTTTAGGGTTTAGGGTTCAGCAGCTCCGGATCACGCAGTCACTAGTCAAGCTAGCGGCTTGAGATTTAGAAAAGACCCACCCGCCCAAAGAACCCCATAACATTCGGAATTTACGAACCATCTTCTCAAAGCCCCGAAGCTTTTAACACTAACTCCAAATAACCGTGTTAGCCCCAAAAATTCAGCCTCTACAGAAGCTGCACACCATAGTTGGCTTCCCTCGCTTGTACCCTTCCCCACCCGCGAGCCTATACTCTGAATGCAATCCTGGCGTAGGTTGCTTTGGGTTCTTAGGATTTAGGGTTCAGGTTTTAGGGGGATTTAGTCTGTAAGGTTTTGGGAATCGGGTCCATGGTTTGGGGTTCTTCTACGCATACTTCACCTGCTGCTCTGAATACAAAGCCAAGCCCTAAACCAAGCTTTAACCTAATCCTTCTAGGCCCTAAACCTTACGATAGATAGGTTTAGGTTATTACCCCTCCCCCACCCTCGAACCTTATCTGAATCCAATATGATAACCCACCATTATACTGATTTATTCCGCTAAGCCCTAAACTTAAATAAAGTTTCGAAACGTGTTTCGGGATAGGGTTTCGGCTTTCGGAATAGGGTTTCGGAATGGAGCTTCCGAATAGAGTTTCGGAATAAGGCTTTGGAATAAAGGTTTCGGAAGGGTTTTCGGAATACGGTTTCGGAATTAAGTTTCGGAATTAGGTTTCGGAATTAGGTTTCGGAACTAGGTTTCGGAACTAGGTTTCGGAAGGGTCTTCGGAATAATGTTTCGGAATTAGGCTTCGGAATGAGGTTTCGGAACTAGGTTTGGGAATTAGGCTTCGGAATTAGGTTTCGGAGGACCTTAATCCATAATTCAGCCCAGGCCCAAGACCTTAATCCGTGATTCGGCCCAGGCCCCGGGAATTATGGACTAAGGTCGCCGCGACCCTAACACACAATTGCCGTTATAGTTTAAATACATAAGGTAAGAAAGGGTTTAGGGTTTAGGATTTAGGGTTTAGGAGTTGAGGAGGCTTTGAAGCTTGTACTTCATAATGGTCCCTCTAAGAAGCAGGGTACCTAAAACAAGGTCTTGAAGTATGGTACTCCAGAACTCTAAACCCTAGGCCCTAGGCCCTTAAATCCCATAGACCCTTAGACCCTGAACCCTTACAGAACCCGAATAGCAGAAACCCAGATACCCCATTCCCAGAAAGTATCCCTGAACCCCAAACCCTAAACCCAAAGCCCTAAACCGCCTAAACCATAAACTCTTCACCCTTAACCCTAAGCCCTAAACCGCCTAAACCCTATAAACCCTAGACCCTAAGCCCTACATAAGCCCTAAACCCTAAACCCTTAATACTAGACCCCAAACCGTAAACCCCAAACCCCATGCCCTTCCGAGAAGCTTGGGTCTTGCTCCCCTTCTCAGGGCTGAGCTGTATGCATTTCAGGCCCTCCTCTTGGCATCTCTGCTGTAGCCGCCGAGACCGGTGCTCCCCGACCTTCTGGGCTCTGATTTAGGAATTTAGGGTTCCTTTAAGGGCTTAGGGTCGAGGAACATGTTTCTCCTGTGAGGGTTCCTTTAAGGGCTTAGGAACTTAACTTAAGGTATGATGGCTTGGATCTATCGTAACTGATAGGGCCTTCCCTATCTTGGCTGCTGAAACTCAACTCCTTACAGCAAGAAGAACCCAGCCTTGTCCCCCTTGCTGCTGAAGAAGACCGTCCACGGCGAGGACTTCGCAGCGCTGAGGCCGTAGTCCGAGGTCTGCAGAACTTCCAGGGTCTCGGGGTCGAAGCGGAGATTCATCAGCCCGGTCCTCTAGGGCTTAGGGCTTAGGGCTCTAGGGGTTTAGGGGTTTAGGGGTTTCGGGGTAATTCAGGGGTTCAGGCGTTTAGGCGTTTAGGGTTTTGGGGTCAGGTTCATTAGCCCGGTCCAGTTCCCACTGGCCATCCGAAAGGTGTCAGTCAACCCCGCACTTCTTTTCGCCAGGACGGCTCTCTTTCGGAGCCCTCCCAGCCCTCCAAGGCTGCCTTCAGATCTTACCAGGAGGCAGAGGAGGAGCCTCACCAGGTACGACATGGCGTTCGCTAACGGGATGCGGCGGGCGCGCTAGTAGAGCGTAGTAAGCGTGAAGCCCCGAGAGATCCGGATCACTCCCGAGTTTGGGCCATGAATGACTTCGAAGCGACGGCAGGCATCTGAGCAAAGCAAGAGGCCTAAACCCTTCCGACATCACCAGCCCAACTCGACAAAAGAAAAAACTGCAAGCTGGAAGAACCACGAGCCGAACCGCAAAATCCTCGCCATTTTAAGCTTCCCTCCCGACTTCCCTGTGATTGCAGGCAGAGCGCATCAGCATCCACCACCCTAAACCAACGTCTCAAATCGCAGCTTCCTGCAAGACTCTTAAGGTAAACCCGAAACTCTGGACCCTGTAACCCCTAGACTTAAGACCCTTCCCAGAAAAGCAGCTCTACCTCGATTCGGCTTCCTTGCTGCGGAAGGGCCGTCACAGCATCGCAGCCGCGGGCAGCGGGAACCTCGGGGAGGGCAGGGCAAAGGGGTGACCTCGCGTCCGGCCTTGGGGCACCTGATGCTAACCAGCGGTTTAGGATTATGGGGTTTCGGGTTTAAGGTGTTAGAATTTGAAACCGATGTGTCTTTTTGCGCTACTAGGAATGGGTTTTCTAATCACAAGTTTTGGATGTACCCTCCTTGCCACGTCGCCAGCACAGGCAGCACAGCTTTGGCGAAGCAGCTGAGTCCTTCAAGGCTCAGCATTTTGGGGCTCAGAGCGTTCTGGGGCTTATATAAGGCTTTCAGGGCGTTAGGTGTTTCGCGTTTAGGATTTCCGGGCATTTCATGACCTGAAGCTTCTTATGATCATGTTTTGAGGTCCGGGTGTGCCCTTGGAGAAGGGCAACGGGTCTGGAACCTGGGAGGGGGCTCTGGGTGGAGGCTGGCTTGCGCTTGATGCTACTGGAGACCTGAATAAGCAGATTTGGGGTGATTCGGTGCTTTCTGCGAGACAAACCATAAACCCAAAGCCCTGTAAAGCTCAGGAAACCTTAGGAATGCTGCTCCAAACTACTCAGGCCTCTTTGGTTCTGTGCTTGGGGAGTTCGATTCTTCACGGCTCTTCGCAGGAAAAGTCTAGGGCCTAAACGCTTGCTACATGGGCGTCAATAATTCGAATAGGCCTTTGGGGTTTCTTATAGTACTCGGAGCCCGTAGAATTCTTCCGACCCTTGCATTCAGCCTTGGCGGAACGCAGGTCCTCCTTGCGCCTTGACGGAAGGAGGTGTTGATGAGCTCTGCATTTAATTTAGAGTCTCTGAGCTCTATAGGCATTCGTTGATACGTCTGAAACCGGGCAGCTGGTAGGAGGAAGCTCGGACAAACAGGCGGCCTTGCAGAACCTTACCCCCCAGGGAAACCAACAACAAACCCCAAGCCCTGCAGCCCCCAGACGGCAAAGCTGAGCTGGCCTGAAGAGAACACAAGCAGGCCGACACCGCCGAAGAGCAGAACCGCGGAGCGGCGCGGTGCCATTTTACGCCCGGCCATTGTGGGGCTCTGTGAGTGTGGGTGCGCGCTCTGGATCACTTCGCTCGAGATTTCCGGGTTGGAGTTGGTCGGGTCTTGGGCGCAGGCGTGTCTTGATCAGGTCAGGTCTCTTCTCGCCCCAGACTCATATAACGGCTGGAAGGTAAGCTTAGGTCGGGCAACGGGGCTTACATGGATGTACGCCTTGGCTTAGGGCTGAAGGTTTGAAGTTCGGGTCCCCAATGGCCGGTTCAAGGGCGCAGGATTGCATCTCAGCTAGGTGGCTCACAAGGTTTAATATAGGGGCTTTAATAATTAGAATATGATTATTTTGGGGTATAACATACTATACCTACAACTATATTCTTACAACAAGGAACTAATTGTTTAGGTGCCCATGTTAGGGGCTTTGAGGCTTGGGGCCTGCAGTGCAGCGAGTGAAGCTTACGCGTCCCAAACTCTTCTCCACCGCAACAGCCTGGCCACACTTAAATCCTCAGAATATGTGTGTGTGTGTGTGTATATATATATATATATGTATTTGCTTATATTTTTATACATATGTATATATATATATATATGTGTGTGTGTGTGTGTATGTTCTGAACACTAAGGCGTAGTGTTATGAAGACCTCCGACCACTACATACAGCTCAGCAGGACAAGCCCTTTTCAGTCCCGCCTTGAGCGAGGTCCGGCGAAGACCCGAAGGGGAACCCTGGGCAGCTCAGCGCTGCACTTCGCGACGGCGTTGAGGTTTGTCCAGTCCTGCCAGAAACTCTCAGGGGCTTCTGCGTTCTTTTTAGGAGTTCCCCAAACAAAATAAGGGATTCTGTGAGGCAGAAGGGCTCACCACAACAGGTTCTTTTAAGGGGTCCTGCTTCAGAATTCACACAGCAAGCTGTCAGGCCCCGATCTTGCACCCAGAAGCAGAAGATGCAAGAAAGCCATTACTTATGTTGACATGAGCCCCAATTCCCTTTGGACCGATGTACTAAAAATAATACATCCCAAAGTATACTGACAATAAACCCCAAAGCCTGAACCCTAAACCGTGTCAAACCAAAAAACGGAGAGTCGCGAGCCTCCCTCTTCGACATGTACTTGACCATTTCAGCCATGGAGTGCGCTGTCCAAGGGAGCATGAGAAGCCCGCCGTCGAGTATGTACACCTTTGGGCTTCAATTCTCTACTGAACCCCCGACTCTCACTGCAGGTTCCTTTCAGGCTTCCTTTTTGGGCTCCTTTAAGGCTGCTACAGGGAGTTTGGGGTTTAGGGTGTAGGGTCCTTTTTGGGGCTCCTTTAGGGCTTCTACAGGGGGTTTAGGGTTTAGGGTCCTTTTTTTTAGGGCTTCTACAGGGAGGGGGTGGGCCTTCTACAAGAGGAGGCAGGTTCCGGAACTTGGCTTGAGGCTTCAGGAGGGAGATCCTTGGCCCGGAACTCCGAAACTGGCAGGGAGTGTTGGGAGGTAAGCTGGGTCCTTGTTGAGGGATTTACTTTTAAGTTACGATAATAGGGATCTAGAGTAAAGGATATGGCTTCTATTTATGCTGGCAACTTGAACTAAATCCCTTGGCAAGAACCCAGTAAGTCTCCGAAGTTCAGGGCATGGCGGAGCTGAACACCCCTTGCCGCCATCAGCCAGGACTTGTATCAAACTGTCGGCCGTCCAAGCTACAGGTTTCAAGAAAGGTGGGTGGACCGCCGGGTTGAGGCGGATCACACATCTTGAGGCTGGTTTTCTGCTTGAGACTTTCGCAAGAACCGAAAGAAGATGGAGTTGACCTGCAAGGTTGGGGTTATGGCCATGGAAGCTTCAGCCAAGCCGCAGGTGGTCTGACATGAAAGTCGTGGTTGTGATTCCCGATGGTATCCGCCTGTCACAAACCAGTAGCAATCAACTGACCTGGCTTAGGCTGTATCGATTCGGGCTACGCGTCCTTCTAGAGGGTTTATTTAGGTTTAAGATTAAACTCCCCCATCTCCTGATCTTCGCAAGGAGCGCTTCAGATTGGAGACAGTCTCGAAGAAAACCCTCGCAGAAGACTCTCCCGGACGACAGCGACATCTCCCCAAGCTGAGCCAATCCCGGCTGCGAACCCCAGCCCCCCCTCCCGGCAGCACCACTTCTTTCACAAACAGCCCTCAAACCTAAATCCTAAACCCTAAACCCCTAAACCCGAAACCCACAAAGCCGTAAACCCCTAAACCCTAAACCCTCAACCGTAAACCCTAAGAAGAGTTCCAAGGGAGGAGACCTCGTGGTTCACCGTGACGAAGCCCAGCCCTGCGCCCGGCCCGTTGTGGAATCCCGGGCCGGGAGCACAGAAGCCTGCTCCCGGGAGTCCTGGGAAAGAACTCTTAGGGTTTAGGGTTTAGGGTTTAGGGTTTAGGGTTTAAGGATTTAGGGTTTAGGGGTTTGGGGCTTTAGGGGTTTGGGGTTCAGGGTTTGGCCTCTTCTCTTCTCTTGTGAAGGTTCCTCTTTCTCCTGAGTAGATACGAATCCCAAAGCTCCTGGAAGGAGGATTCTTTCCTTTCTTAGTGTAGGAAAAGCTTGTGTTTCAATATCCATATGTGGAGATTTCCTGTTTCTTGCGTCTGTTTATTGTTATGATGCTAGGATTCGACGTCTGCGTGTTAGGGGCTCCTGAGATTAGGGAATCCGCCCATGCTTCAATTCGCTTCAATTCGCTCTTCTTGATTCTTGATGCTCCTCTGTTGGTCTTCATGCAGAGGCCTTAATAATTAGACTTTGGGGGCATATTACACCATCATACAAGGGAACCCCGAAGATGGTATGGGTAATTGCCTAGGTCCCTACGTTACGTTGCTTTGTAGTCTTCTTGCCCCTGGCTTCTTCGCGTTGCCCGAGCGTCAGAAGCTAGTGCTGAAGATCATGTTCGGGCTGATGAAGCTGATGGTATGATGGTGGGGATGATGGCGGCGAAGATGGTGATTATGGTCTTTGTGATGATGATGATGATGATGGTGATGATGATGATGACGATGATGATAGTGGTGATGGCGGTGATGGTGGTGTGGAGCATTCGTCCCATTAATTATTAATTAGAACAATTATTTGAGCAAGATTGTCAGCAATCTTGCAATCTTGCCCCACTTGCCGTTCTTGCCCCGTTTGCAGGGGGGTGAGGGGGGGAAGATGACCACGCATTCTTGGCCGTCTTGGTCTAAATGGTAATCCAGTCGGCGAAGTAGGGCAAGTGGAGCGGCAAGTGGAGCAAGACGACCAAGATTCGCAAGATAAGCAAGATGACCAAGGATGACCAGTGGCCGAGACAGATGACCAAGATTGCAAGATGACCAAGTTGACCAAAAAATGTTTCAAACAATTGTTCTAAATGCCCGGCACTATGTGATGGCACTCGTGGCGTGATGATGCTAGTCGTGATGGCGGTGATCGTGGTGACGGCAGTGGCGATGGTGGCGCAGACGGTGATGGAGCTGGTTCTGGTTATGATGTGGCGTCAAAGGAGATGATGATGCCTATGATCGAGTGCAACCGTTTGCTCCTGCTTGGTTCTTGCTCAGCGAGGATAACCTTGTATCCAACCAAAATTTCGTCAGAAACGCAGAAATCCGGCGGCTGCTTCCAGCAACCTCCAACAGAGAGTCGATTCCCTCCTGGAGGCCCCAGCAAACGCTCTCAGAAACCACATACTGGCCGCTCCGCCCCCAGAATGCAAAATCAAAGCTACTGGTGCTGAAGGCAGAATGGGAGAGTGGATCCCTGTAGTAGCTCCTACATAATCCCTTGTAGTCTTCCGATATTGCTTCCTCCGCTCTTCCTCAAGCAAAACAAGGAGGAAGCATTTCCGCAGTTCGCCTTAAGAAGCGCTTGAAACCTGCGTAGCACAGAACGCCTGGAAATCCCCATTCAGCCCAGGGCGCCTAAGGAAGTGGCCACGACTTCAGCAAGGTATCCTCTGCAAGATCTGCCAGCATATTAACAAAAGACCTTTTGGGTTATTTAATATGGTATGCTTTATGGTATCGGGTTCCCGATTATGATAATAGTCGCCTGCTGGAACTGTCTTACATCCTAAACCCTAAACCCTAAACCCTACACCCTACACTTGCCTGGTTTAGACTCTTGCCAAACTGCACTGCAGAGCCCAAGGCGTGCTGTTCTGACTGGCGGTTTGACAAACCCCTATAATAGTACACATACATATATATCTATATCTATATCTATATCTATATCTATATATATATATACTCTATATATATATATATATATATTCCATTGTAATGTACAATGAAACAACATTCTACTCTACTGTAATATACATAATATACTATGCCATATGAGCCCACGGAAATTGTCGGCTTTGGGCTTGGACTTCGGGAGAACGGGCCCTATCGGGCTCGGGAGAGGTTTGGAGCTGAGCATGTCTCAAAGCCGCTTGAAAGCTTTAGGGTTTAGGGTTTAGGGTTTAGGTCCTCCGAGCGAGTGCCCAGTGATCATCACGTCGCAGCCCTGCTCGTGATACATCCTGCTTCCAGTCGCTCGTCGCCCTATATTAGCCTTTGCCTACCCTTGTAGTACCCCTAAAGTAGCCATCGCTATTGCTACCTTGAGGGCTTCTGGTTCAGGGTTTTGGACTTGGTGTTTCGGGCTTATGGCTTGGGAAAGCATTGAAAATGCACTCGTCTGCCTCGTCAACTCCGCCGCGGCTTCAACGAAGGCCTTGGGGTAGCTATACATGACCACCGATCGCCAATCTCGGAGACGGTCCTTTGCGGAAGGGTTTAGGGGAGTTAAGGGGTTAGGGTCTAGGAAACACCCTCAAAGATGGCTCATGCAGGGTCATTCGAATTCCGGAGTATGGAGAGCGAAGGGCACCACTGCCACCATCACCAGCATCATCATCACCGTTATCTTCAGCAACAGCTTCGGAATGACAAGCAGCATTCTGTCCCCGGCGCTGAATCCACATACACGTATATGCAACCCTTAGGCGAGCCGTCTTTTCGAATGCCAAGTCTCATGAACATCGGCCGTACCCCGGATGGCGATGACAGCCAGATCCCGTTGTCGTTGTTTGCCTCTGTCAGATCAGGTTGGCAGGGCTCTAGAAGCCGTATCTCACGGTGGAAGCCCTGGAACCATCGGTGGTAGGCGGCATTCTACAGCTAAAACTTAGCCCATCGCAAGCAAGCATGCAGTGACTCATGCAATCCATAGCCAGAGGCCACAAGCCTGAGGACTCTTTCGCCATGATCCTGAAGAGGTGGTGCTTCAGTGGGTTAGCGCAGCCGTCTGTGCACGGGTCTGAGAATTATTGCAGCGACCTCGTACTAACGAGGACATGCTTTTGATGCAGCAATGTGCTGCAGGTTGCTGTAAAAGAGGACCTCCTTTCGGGCACCTGTCCCGCTCAGCGAACATGAGCTGCAGAACCCCGGATAATCAAACATCTTGCCTCTGGCATAGAAGTCAGCAGCAGAGCGGAAAACTCCGATATCCCTCCGGGACCTTCGAATGTAATTGCCAAACTCTGAAAATCGACAAAATTATTGATCATGTTGCCCATGCGGTCATGGGTGTTAAGGCAAATGCCTCCAATATTCAGCATAACTGAACGATAAGACTCGGATGAGACTGCACATGTACATTCAACGTACATGGCAAGGCAACGGTACCTTTCAATGGCTTTAATCTTGCACGCACTCACGGTATGCTGTGACAGTTTGTGCGTGTTGTCAATCTTGGGCCTGCGCCAACATATCCGTAAAGCAACCATGCTGAAGGCAGCACAAGCGCGGCAAACAAGAGCATGTTGTCCGTGTGTCCGTCATAAATGAGGGTGGGCTCAAAGCAGAGCTGCTCAACCACGACTGCCACAAGAATGACGAACAAGACGGCAAGGAGCGGCAGCAAGTTGATCAAAGGGTCGCATCGTGCCCACTTGCACTTCCTCTGGAAGCGACATGCTAGCCGGCACTGAATTAGAAAGGCCACAGGACCGACCCCCAACCACCAAGCCAGTCCTCTTGCGATCTGACAGGATGCCTGCTGCCATGGATCCCAAACGGTGAAACGAGCATATGCTGAGGCCCTGTCCAGGTAGCTCCACAGAATTGGGACGAGAGCAAGCACAACTTGTGAGTACGTGAAGGGTTGCCTGGACTGCTCGTGTACAAACGTGTCCATGATCTCCGTTTGCACGCGAGATTCGAAATCTTCAAACTTGCCGAACCACTGACAGATGCACTTGAGTACAACCTCTCGGTCACAGACGCCACCCCGAGCATGCCCGGTGTCACAGCAGCTGCATTTGACATCTGCAAGACGCCAACCTTCCAGTTGCTCCTGGGAGTCACTCACTGATCGAAAATACTCCCTGAAAGTGGCCGTGTTCACGGACAGTCCACAGAAGCAAATCAAGAATTGAAGTGCCCACAGGAGGTAGCGGCAGCTGGCTGAGAAGTGCACACTGACATTGTCACCGACTTTGAGAACAAGAATCACCGTCAGCATCAGCAAGAGGTAGCAAGGGCCTAGAATCGTGGGCCTCAGAACGACTTTTGGCGTCTCGCCCTGTTCCCGGCTCCTCAAGAAGGCAGCTACCTCAAACATTGTCCACAAGCGATCGCTGTATGTGGCATCCCAAAGAATCAGCATGGAGCGCGAAGCCTTTAGGAATGCAGCGATGCTCAGTAATCCTTTTCCCTTGCGTTCGGGATTCACTTGGTCTATGCAGATCACATCAAAGAAGATGGAATCAATGGGTCTCCAGAACAACAGCACCAAGATGTACAGGATCATGCCGACAAGTCCTGCCCAGAAAGATTGCCAATGCGCAAACGGCAAATCCTCGGTAAAGTTGTTTGGTCCACCCAGGACGGGCAACAGCTCTGACGCAAATAGGACGCACGCAACAGCCGAGCCAAGAGATGCGATGACTGCCGCAGCGGCACCGTTGTAGAAGAGCAGGAGAGTCATGTACTTTCGCCAAGTTGAACCATGCCAACTGTGACTCCAAAACATGTTGATCTTCTTGGTCTGGTAGCTCAGCCTCACTTGCGACTCTTGCAATGGGAGGAGAGGTTAACCTTTTTGTTTGAAGAGGGGTCGCGAACATAAAAGGGTAAAGGTGCCGAAACCTTCACCTAAGCAACCGATGAAGCTTCTTGGATCCGCGCAGGGCTTTGCCGAAGCCTCGGAACACATCGCCGGGTCGTGTAGCCCGAAGCAAGTCTGGAGAGACTGGCAACATCCGGCCCACCATTCGAGCGATGAGGTCTTCAGTATGAGCAGGAACTTCATTGGCTGTTTGCTCTGGTACTGGAGAGATCTGCGGAGGAGCATAGGCTCGAAGCTGCGCTGGCTCCATAGCTAACACAGCCCTGAGTGGAAGCCTGTTTCTAGTCTCGAGCGCAGAAGCAACCAGCCTGCGTGCCAAATTTTGATCATCTTGACACTTTGCCTTGCTTTCAAGCAAGTGAAATTTTCATCACCGTGATACTTTGCTTTGCTTTTCAAGCAGGCGAAATGTGATTCGGGATACCGACAATCGAAGCTTGTGACCTGGTTCACCAAGATCGGTAAGCATCGATTGGTTCTGCCTTTGTTCACGGTGCCCACTGAAGTATTGCAGAATTACATCAGCGGGGTGGTTCAGAAGCTGCTTTACAGGGACAGTGATTGAAAAGGGCCCACAAGCCAAGCCATGAGACAATGATTTTCACCTTGACTTGTGGTCGGGTTAAGAACTGCTCACAACCCGGAAAGAGCTACGGAAACAAGGCCAGTGTGCGCCAGCAGGTACAAGGAGGCTGCGTGCTGACGCCAAGGACTCCAGTTCACTTTTCCACTGTACTGTCCGTAACACCCCCCCCCTACCCTGCATCTGTAGGTCCGAAGTTTGAGCCAAAGAACCAAACTCGAGGTCGAAAGTCCAAACACATGGTCTAAAGAAGCGTGTAAAGGCAATGCTGAGAAACAGCTCATTGCCGCGTCACAAAACGAAGATACAGCTCTCTACGCAATTTGACAAAGACCGTGTGTGCGTGTATGTATATATATATATATGTAAATATGTATATGTATGTATATATATATATATACACATACGTACGTTGACATGTACTAAAGCCGATGCGAGGTCCTCTACATTCTCCAGATGCGACATACTCTCTCTGTGCCGTCAACCCGGTCCCCCACAGCCAGAATGGCAGTCGGATGCAGTAGGTGCGATATTTTGATTGCAGAGTACAAAACCAAGGGCCTCGAGAGCCGCCTGGGAGCAAGAAGACGGCCATTTGCGCCTCGACCTATGCTCGGCATTAGAAGCTCGAAGGGCTCGAAGGGTTTTTCGATGTGGTTTGGGGCTTGGTAGGGTTTGGAGTTTGGGATTTAGGAGTTCGGGGTTTAAGGTCTCCTTTAGTGTGCTCGGCATTGAAGGATCCATGTTTGGGATTACTTTGGTGTGGTTCTTTGGTGGCTAATTGATAGGAGTGAGTCTGGGTTCAACATGTCTTGAAAAGTGTTTGCAGGTGCGGCACGGCAGTTGGGCTCGGTTGACATTGCGGTTATATAAGGATTCGGCGTGAACGGGTTTAAGGCCAGTCCGGCTTCCAGGGTGGTTCATTCCAATGGAGGACATCGCAGGTAATCGCGACATTGGCGCTAGCTTACTGGCCTCCAGCGACTGACAGAGTTTCGAGTTTCTGGCGGCTTTCACCGACCATGATGAAGGGCTAGGGCTTGACGAGGGCGTGGGGCGCATGTCATGCCAGATCCATTGTGCAGTTGCGCCAAAAACATACTTCAAGTGCTTGAGACTCCTAGTCCTACACGTGAGCCCTTAATCGCAAGTCCTGAACCGAGGACGCCTCAAGAGAACGAACCGATCTGGGTGGCCTCTTCTTCCGGGTCTCGGACGCAGGCAAGGTCCTGCACGCTCCCAAAGCATCAATACCCTCAATCCGGTAGGCATGACCACCACTCCTAAACCCTAAACCCTAAACCCTGAACCCTGGCTTCATGGCTTGGCTTAAAGCCTAAAGAGCCTAAGGGACCGGCTCTGAGGTCGTCTTCTGCAAGTTCAGGTTCTCTGAGCTTCCGCATCCCCAGCCCTTTCCTGTTCGCAGTGACAGTGCTGACCCTACTTGTCGGAAGGGCTTAGGGTTTAGGGTTAAGGGCTTAGGGTTGAGGGTTTAGGGTTTAGGGTTGAGGGTTTAGGGTTTAGGGTTTAGGGTTTAGGGTTTAGGGTTTAGGGTACCATCCTATTGTGGTCTCATGTCTCTCGTTGCTTGAAGGTCCACAGGCATGCCGCAGCCTTGGAGCGTCTGCGGGAGTGTAAGGTCACATGTGTGGCCATATTATACGGCCCTAGGAGCCCATGGTGCCACCACTGCATAGAAGCCTCCCCTAAACACCAAACCATAAACCCTAAAACGTAGCCTAAACCCTAAATCGTTCTAAATCCCTAAAGCCCTTAACCCTAGAACCCTAAACCTACACCCCCAAAACCCCAAAACCCTACAGTTGTAGGGTCTCGGGGTTGGGGCTCTGGGCCGAGCCACACAGCGCCAGCCCGGCAGCTCTCGTGGCGGCTCCGCATAGACGGCCCGAGCGAGCCCGGCGAGGTCAGACAGGGGGAGCTCGATGTCAGAAGGCGACCTTGGGCTTTTGGGGCTTAGGGCTTAGGGGTTTAGGGGCTTAGGGTTTAGGGGTTTAGGGGTTGAGGGTTTAGGGTTTAGGGTTTAGGGGTTTAGGGTAGTTCTCTAAATTGGGGTTCGTTTGCAGGTCCTTACTATAAGGGTGC